TGTTAAAGAGCAATCTTTATTAATTCCCTTTAAAATTAGTCTTCCAAATCAACGAAAACTACTATTTGAATATACAAACTTTATCACATCTATTAATAACTTTTATTTATTTGAAGGAATTAGAAAATGGCTTCCTTTTAAAGGTGATGAAGCAAGACGTGAACCTGAATATAATGTTAAATGTTCTTTATATTCAATGCTCCTTCGAACTAGCAAAAATCTTAAGCATATATACATTGATGGAATTATTTGCGATCAATTTATATTTAAAAAACTTTATGAAAGTAGTAGTATTACTTCTGTAGATTTATATATCCCGTTTAGTTTCAACGATGACTTTAAATCGAAGGCATTAGATGTATTAATAAAGACCCTTTGTAAAGATTCTACTTTAACTTCGTTAGAAATTGAATGCACTCAAATTGGGCTTGAAAGATTGAATACATTATTGGAGGCTCTTTATAATGACACTGCCATAAATTCTTTAAGTTTTTCTGATAGGCAGATTGGTGCTGAAGAAGGAAAGATGTTTGCAAAGTTTCTTTGTAAGAAGGCCACACTTACTTCTTTAAATCTTTGTGGTGACGATATATATTCGTTACTTAGCAGAGGTATTGGATCAGAAGGCGCAAAAGCATTTTCTGTCGCTCTTTGTAAGAACAATACTCTAAAATATTTGAATCTTCAATGTAATAATCTTCGATCCGAAGCTGGGAAATCATTAGCAAATGCACTTTGTACGAACACTGTGTTGACTTCATTGAATCTTGGTAAAAATAATCTTGGACTTGAAGGCGAAAAAGCACTAGCAGATGCTCTTTGTAAAAACACTTCACTAAAAGATTTAAATATCGAAGATAATGAACTTGGAACTGAAGGTGGAAAAGCATTAGCCAATGCGCTTTGTAAGAATACCACTCTAACTTCTTTAAATGTTGGTTGTAATCATCTTGGATTCGAAGGTGCAATGGCGTTAGCAGATGCTCTTTGCAAGAATACTACGCTAACTTCTTTTGATATTAGTATTAACTATCTTGGATCAATGGGAACAGAAATAGGTGAAGCATTTGCTGATGCACTTTGCAAAAACACTACGCTGATTTCTTTGAGTATTGGATCTAATGAATTTGGACCAGATGAAGGTAAAGCATTTGCAAATGCACTTTGCAAGAATATTTCACTAAAAACTTTGGATCTTGAAGAGAATAATATTGGAACAGAAGGTGTAAAAGCGTTAGCAGATGCACTTTGTAAAAATAACACACTAAAAAATTTGAATATTTGTGACAATAATATTGGATCAGAAGGTGTAAAAGCAATATCAGAAGCACTTCGCATGAATATCTCGCTGACTTCTTTGAACCTTGCTAATAATGATTTTGGACCAAAAGGAGGAAAAGCAATCATTAATGCACTTCGCAAGAACACCACACTGACTTCTTTGAATCTTCGTTGGAATGATATTGGGCCGGAAGTAGAAAAAGTACTTAAGAATGAATTCTCTCGATGCGATATAATACATGATTGGAAATCTCTAAGTTAATTAGACAACATTTGGTAATAGTTGAAGGATTTTTATTAAATGATATATAGGGGTATAAGTTATAGCTTTATTAATATACTTTATTAAACATTTAAAGTATTAAGTATATCTAGAATAATCAAGGTTGGGTTCGGATGATTGTCCGAATGATGGTCTAGAAAATAAACTTTCGAATATTTTGTTTATTTTTTTATTTTTATTTTTCCTGCTAAGATCTTTTTTCAATTATAACAATAACATAACAATAACATAAAGAAATAATACTAATACAGTTTATTTCTTTTTAACTAATTGATTTGTTTTTTGTTGTTTAATGATAAATTATGTACTCTTTTCGCATTCGATTCTTTTTACGGTAGATTGATATTTTATTCTGAATATTCGATGACTATGATATCTAAGATATTTTGATAAATAGATATGATATTAACTTGCCTATAAATAAATTCGGTTTTTTTATGTATTCTTTTTGCCAACAAGAAGTTGGTTGAAAAAACTTTTTAACTGATATTATATTATGAAGTATTAATTTGAATTTATTTATTAAAACTTAAATTAGTACAAGAGATTTTTTTGTTAAAATCTAAAAAATAGTTTATAGACAAAAAGTTATAGCACTAGCTTTTTTTAAAAAACAATATTTATTATTATATAGTTATAATTGATCTAATAAAATACAATTCAATGGTTAAGAATAATTAGTATATATCAGGCATATTATAATAACTAAACCAACAGAATGACTTAAGCTCTTTTGTTAATGATTGCATTATTATCAAATAACAAAGTTATTTATAATGTTATAATTATTATTAAAACAACTCAAGTTATTATCATAGTAAGGTGCTGGATTAATAACTATATCTAAGCTTTATATTTAATAATAATATATTATTAAGTTAAATGTTTTAATTGCTATACTAATATATAATTTTAAACTTTAATTTATAGTTTATAATTTTAGTAGATATGATTTATAAATTATTTAACTATAAATTTAAATAAAGAAGGCAAAGTAACTTGGGCTAATATATATAATATATTTAAATATAAAGAAATTTTAAATACTTTTATTAATATTGTCACAGCTCTGTGCAATACCCATGTGAATTGTGCTATGAGCATATGTTGATCAAATGTTGTAATCTAATACATAATATCTTGTGATTATTATGTAATTAAACATCTAAAACATTGATATATAAATGATTAAAAAGTCTGTGATACAAACTATATTATCAATCAATATATAAGACATCAATCCAAATATAGGAAGTGTCTAACTTTGGTAACAATATCTCTTTGAATTATTCTTAGTGAATACACTGTTTTATTGTTTAATCTGCATGGATACATTGTTATTAGTGGTAGTATCTGTAAGATACTCCAGTCATCAAGTGAGTGAAGATTGATAATAAAGACCCATGAATATATAAAAATTCAAGAAACTCTATAACACTATGAAAAACTTGAAATTTTCAAAATAAAGTAAAACAAAGTTCTAAAAAAAATCAAGTGGTGGTATGTCTGCTATTAATATAAGAAAAGCTTATAATCAAGATCCAATTGGTATATATATAAATAAATTAAAAAATACTAAGAAATTTGTAAATTTTAAAAAAAATTAGTATTTACTAGCAGTTTTAGTTGAAAAATATGCAGCAATGTTTATTAGTTTTATTAAAGAATTTTTAAAATAATTCTTAAATATAATATTGAAAAATTTATAGTAAAACCAGATAAACCAAATACTGTTATATCTATATTCTTTACAAAAGGATATTCAGTAAAAAGCTATCTAGATAAAGATGAAATAAAGTATAGCTATGGTTTAGTATTTGATACAGATAAAGTAGAAAGTAGAGATTTTGTATTATCTGAATATCAAAGATATTAAACTAAAGAATAATAGCTGATAGGCTTGGAGATCTAAACAAGATGTTTATAGGATTTTGGCCTTTTTAAAAAATACTAAAAATTATTATATATTTGTAATAGCTATAGCTCAAAGATTAGCCAAATTTGCTAAAAAAGAAAAAATTTATAAAATTCATTTATAAAAAGCATTTATTAATTTGTAAAGTTAAATAAATATACATATTTAAGTTCTAATTGCTTCAATTATTCTAGTTTTGCTATTTAATTTTTTCTATAAACTTATCTAATATTATCTAAAATTTTTTTAACTAAAATGACTGAAATAGTAAACTTACTATTCATTTTAACTATTTAAAATTTCTTTTATATAATAAACTACTTTTGTTAATTAAAATTTAATTTTTGTTACATTTTTGACCAATTAATTGAGACTTGAGAATGCTTTCAAAAAACAAACTGACTAAATACTAATAATAATTTAAATTTAAAATAAACAATATTTATAATATATTTAACTAAATTAATTTTAGTATAAGTATAAAGTATTTATTACTGTATTAATTTACTATAAGTATTTACAATAAAATAAACAATCAGAGCTTAGTTTTGTAAAATAAACATGGAAAATTTTGCTTCTTAAGATGCATAATCTAAACATAGCTAATATATATTTCTAAATAATATGTATTCTAATTTTTTATATTTTTTTATTAATATTTTTTACAAATACATATTATTTACTAATATTCACTTCATAGATATTACATTTTATTAACAAGCTCATTTTATCAATAGTCTATTTTACAAAACTAATTTCACTAACAAGTTTTTTTTATAAATTATACTAACTTTAATTCTAACCTGACTTTAATAATATTGTCAGAATTATTTTGCTTATAAAATAAGCTTCAATAAAATAAACTGTAAGTGAAATAGATTTATTAGTATATAATGTCTGTCACTATTGTGTTTATATCTCATACCACCTTTTGAGGTGCTGCTATAACACAATCCATATTTCAAGCCCAACCTTTCTAATTAGTCACCCATTATATCTAGTTTTAGTTTTGGTAATTTCTATATAGTTTTAGTCTAAATACGCAAAGTTTTAGCTTTAGTTTTAGTTTTTTCATTCTTATTAATTATTATAACAATTATAGAAGATCTCAGAATTCATAATATTAGCCTCCTTGTTAAAGATAAGATTATTAAAGAGGTGCTAGATCAAGCACCTATTAATAGTGAGGACCAACTGGAGCCAGATGTCTATAAAATTTTGAACCAAATCACTAAGGTATTTAAAGATATAACTAAAAGATTTTTGTGCAAAAAAACAATTGGGTCCAGGTTAAGCCTTTTAAAAGAGAAGAGGATGAGAACCCCATTAAGTGAATTGAGGTTTTTGAATGTATTGCTAATACAAATATTTGGGTAGAGTAGTATAAAATTAAGATTGCATTAGATTATTTGTTCAAGATTGTAGCTAATTAGTATAAGAGAAAGAAGGATAATTTATAGAATTGTGATTAAATTACTTTTATATAAATTCAATAAAGAAATTGATTTAATTATAGCAGATATGTTAAAAAAATTACAGGAAAAATATCCTCATCCAGAAGGTATTTTCACCAGAAGACTTAAAACTGTTCAAATAGTTGATAAAAGTAATGAATGTTACTTTGTGAACCTTAACATATCTGACTTAAATCAAAAGAAAGAAAATAAAATTTGTAATGTTATTTTTAACCAACTTTACTCACTTTTGGGTGATAGCACTTTTATGTCTCCTGAAGAGGTTTTAAGTAAATAGTATTTAAATTATATTGTAGATTTTCCTTTTTGCTTTAATGAAAAACAAAATATGGTGAGATAAAATTCATTTATAACATTGGAGGTAGGAAAGTTTTCCTAAGCAAAATTTATAATTATTTAAAGACATTCCTTCTGTGTCTCATATATTTATGAAAGACGAAGTATTTAAGTGAAGTAAAGTAGAAATGAAAGAAAAAATAAGATCTATCATTGCTCAAGATCAACTCACTTATTTTAATAGTATATTAGTTAATAGTAAACAAAATAAAAAATTTGACCTATTAGATAGTTGTGCTATTGATATGTCAAGTGTCTATACTATGTCCTCAAAAGTATTTGAGTTATATTTACAATTTAAATTTTATATTGCAATGGATATAACAGCCATGAATTTAATTATGTCCTGGCCTTATATAAGAATATTAAAATCAATTTGTAAGAGAGATTATTATAACTATCCCTAAAGAAAAGCAGCTAAATGGTTGCTAGATAATTATTATAATAATTTATATAATAGTTATTTTTGGAATATATATAGTAAGAAGCAGGACTCATTCTGATGATCATCTGGACCAAAATTTCCCACCAAATGAAAAACAAAAATTTGTTGGAGAGGAGAAGACAGCTTATAGGGCAGTTTTTGTAAAGGTCAACCTTTTACTCTGGAGACTCCTTTACATATTCGGTATGCAAACCAGAAGCGTTAGGAAACAAGATAACTGGCAAGAGTTGGCGCCCTTGCTTCCAAAATTCTGGAAAGAAGGTACTTATGAGAAGTTGGGGCCTTTTTGTCGACAAAGTAACTCGTAATGCAAAAGAATAGAATAGAAGGAGAACAACAAATAGGTTTTTTTAACGACGCTCTTTGGAAATTTAGAGACTTTCCCTAGAATAATGTACATCATGGCTTGGTTCGAAAGGAGCCTTAATGTGAGACATGGGAAAAGGGACCTATTATAGGCATGGCACTTGTTGTTCAGAGGTAGTTCTCATACACTACCTGCCAACAAGCTCAGAGTTTTTTACTCACCAAAAAAACTTAGTACTGTGCAGGCTTGGGTAGACATTTCTTCGGTGTTTCCTTTTGGTTTTTTTACCTCCCTCCTGCTTTTGCTATTCTCTTCAAAATTTTCGAAAAAAAGTGGGCATTTGGGCTCACCCCCTCCAAAAGATTGGCATTGTTTACACCTTCCTAATTCGGATATACTCAGTAGAACACAACCACATGTTTGTTTAAATTACACTCTTTCAATAGTATTGTTTTGAAAGAAACTCAACTCTATCCATTTTATCAAACTGTCTTTTAACTTTTAGATTAATACCTCAT